GATATTTGGGTTTACACAGCCACACAGTGGGTCTCCTACTGTCTGGGCACCCCCTGAGTTTGTTGACCCATCTGCCCAAGGTTCTCTACTCCTGAGCTTCAATTTTAAGGGCTTTCGCCTGCTGTCCATCTGAAGTTCTGCCACTCCCACTGCTACAAATTAATTTGCCCTCCAGTCTTCCTCTACTTCTCGGCTTATGTTGGACATAACAGTAGGTATTAGGCAGAGTCCTCTCACCATATCACCTAACTAGTCACTGAAATACAGTCTCACAGGTATGTCCAGTTGGTATTTTTTTTTTAATTCAGGTACTTCTTTCTTCCATGAGTGAGAGAGACAGACAGACAGACATGCACCTTCAACAGAATCTTGATACCACAACATATCTCCAGTTTCAGCCAGCCCCTGATAATGGGCAAGCAGGTCTCCAGTGTACACAGGAAGATGTTGGGACTTGAACCAGCAAACTTCCCATTTGAGATTACTTTGCAATGCGTCACATTTTATCATTTTTACCAGCATCTGGCCCTCGATGGGCAGCGGATATTTTACGGAAGTGCAAAGGCAATTCAACAATAAAAGAACTGTCTTTTCAACAAATGGTGTTGGAACAACTGGATGATTATATGTAAAACAAACAGAAGAAATCAACCTTTAGCCTTACACCTCATTTAAGAGCTAATTTTAAATGGGTCATTTATCTAAATGTAAAACTATAAAACTTTTAGAAGACCTAAGGGAAATCTTGTGAACTAGGGTCAGGCAATGAGTTTACAGACATGACACCAAAAGTGCCATCCACTTTGAAAGGTATCAAATTGAACTGCTGGTCCCCCCCAGTGATCATTTTCCTTGCAATGTAGGCATACACAAAACACATGATGCACATAACACATAGTTCTCTATTCTGTCCCCCCCCCCAAACAAAACAGCCTACAAGATGAAGATGCTAATGACTCAAAAGTTGTACTATGGGTCTTTTCTTTATGCCTTTCATGGGTATATTTGCCTGTTTTGATGGATGATCACCATTTAAACCATCAGCCATAGGATTAAATTCAGAATCCTCTTGGGATGTGTGTGTGCATGCAAGCATACATGTACCTGTGCATATTAGGCACACTCACTAAAGTCACTTTTTCATGATTCAAAGAGAGTGGTAGATTCAACAGATTACATATGTCCCTCTCAGTGCAGGACAGCTTGTAGAAGATCATAAACATATTTTTCAGACAGAAACGTGGCAGCCATGAACATACCACGTGGTCACTCCTTCCCTAAGGTTTGCTCCTTTAATTGTAAATAGCCAGAAAGTCATCAAGACAGAGTTTAATAAACTTTTAATTTGAAATGAATTACCACATGTTGTGTTTGTTTACCCATTATTAAATCTCTTAGCAACATATCAGTGGCAGAAACAGGGTACTGTATCCCAGCCCTGATATATTAGAAAACAAAGCCATGGGGGATATTAACAGCTAATAATATGCTTAGGAAGCTTCCAAGAAAAAAATAATAAATATAAGCAATAGCACAGGCATGTCTTCAAAGAGTTTTTTTTTTTATGTTCTAATTTTGTATAAATCTGTTCAAATATGAGCAGAAGGTCCCTACATAGTCTTTTGGAATGTGAGGCTTGAATCAGTCTCTGAGCTCAGAACAGAGCAAGTGAATAATCAGTTTTCTTAAAAAGCATCTTCCTAAATATATGAGATTCTTCCTCTCCTGGTATATGTGACTCTTCTCGTGAGAGCGTGTCACGTTTTCATGCATGCGAGAACATTCATGTTCTCCTGGAGTCTACCTGTCCTCCTTTTTAAGAAAGCTGGGAGCAGTGTGTGGAAAGCCAAGTGGGTAGCCCAGTGCAGGAGGTGTAGAAAATAGACTCAGATTACCCCCAAGGAATAACTAGAAAGCAAAAAAGACCTGGTGAAAAATGGCCTAGAAGTCATTGCTTCTACTCTTTGTTTCAGTATGTTAAACCTAGGTTAAAATGCCAGTAACATCAAAATATTATTTGTTAAATCAGAACCCACTTTCTCAAAAGTTAAAGTGAAGCAAGCCAGGCTGTGATGGAGAGACGTTGTATGTCTCCACTTAATATATACCAAATGTCTGTTCTCCATAGCTGAAACTGAATGACTAGAGGATATAGAAACATGGAAAATGGCTATAAATACCAGATATTGTGTGGGAAGAGGGTGGGTGAAGGAGGAGAGACTGAGGAGGGACATTAGGGAGAGAAATAGAGGGGCGGGCATTTGTGGGACAGAGAGATGGGTTATTGTCTGTTGAGGATGATGTGTATAGTATTCCCAACTGGATTGGTGAGAAATCTATACATGTTGGAATATTCACTTTGCAAGCTAAGTGACACATGTGATGGAATAAAAGAAATTGAAATAAAAAATAAATTTAAAAAATTCTAAAATTAGACTTGTAGCTCATGGCTTAATCTGAAAATATTGGAAAAACAAAAACAAAACCAAAGAGGGGGCCAAGTATTAGCACAGCAGTAATGTCACTGGACCCACTTAGGAAAGACCACAGGTTTGCATCCCAGGACCTGTCTGAACATGTCGGACCTTCGCATGTGCCTGAGGTCCATGCTAGATCATGGCATGAAGATTCTGTTGGACGTGTCAGTCTCTCTCTCTCTCTCTTTCTCTCTGTCTCTAGAGAAATAAATGAATAAACTTAAAAAAGAAAGAAAAAGTTACTTTGCACCTGTAGGGATTTTACAATGTCTTCTAGAGCAGCTTTCCCCTTTTCTTTTGACCTTGATATTTAAATAAAAATCAGGGACGTGTATCTTTTTTTCTCTAGTGACATCATCATCATTCCTTTATGTTTCTTGACTGGGTCATTTTATTTTAGGAAGATGATCTTCGACATCTGAAAATGTTTGGATTGCTTCTACCCCTTCAGCCTCTCAGGTTCTCAGGTTCCACAGATGAGGACAAGCTAATGTCAAGGTAATAAGGTAACGTTAAGGTAATGTTAAGGGTTCTCTAGATCCTCCCTTGACTAATCTGACTCAATTAAAAAACAGGGTGCCAAAGTCATTCTCCAGAATAAAACTTAACTGGTGTCTCTGAGTGTCCTCAACCTAACTGTCCCACAAAGACTCTGACAGTGATTGGGGTCTGCCCTGGGTCCTTTATGGGCCACCTCTGCCCTTGTTCAGTCTGCCAGTGTCTTGGGCTGACCGTTTGGCCCCAAACTACTCACTCTCCCCCTCCACACTAAGCTTATTGGCACACTCATTGTTATACATTGTGGATATTTACATTTAAAAGTGAAAAGTTAGAGCCAGCCCTGGCCTGGTGGTTAAGGAGCTAGATCTCATATGGCCAGCCAGAGAGTCTGAGTATCCCTGGTGGCTTGAAAAGAACATTCCAGGTGCATGTGCACGCATGCCCAAGACCCTGAGAGGAGAATGAAGGAGAAGCGATTGCAGTGTGGCCATTCCCCCAGGGGGTGATTTCTCACTTTCTGTTTCTCTGTCTCTCCAGTAAGTGCATGTACTTGCCCTATAGAAAAAATTTTCTCTTAAAAAAAAACTATAAAAACATGCATATAAAAAGACAATACAATAGAACAGCTATTTACATAGCATTACATTATATTTGTTATCATAAGGAATGTCAGATGATTTACAGTTTACAGGAGGATGTGTATGGGTTATATCTAAATATTACTCCATTTTGTGGAAGGGATTTGAATATCTGCAGGCTTGGGTATTGACAAGGGGTCTGGAATTAACTTTCTATGGATACCAAGGAATGTATATATATGTGTATATATAAAATCTATTTCTAGACATGCCCTCCTTTGATAAACTCTACTAAAAATTATTGGAAGGATCTACATAAAACAAAAATTTAAATACATCATTCCCCTTCTTAAGAACTTGTTTAACAGTATCTTTGATTGGACGAATACACAGTGTATTCGTGGTAGAAAAATTCATTTTATATGCTGTAAAGATATACAGTGATTCAACATAAAAAATAATAAAATTATAAAATAAATTAAATTAAAAATTTTTAATTAGTTTAAAAAGAGATTTTAAAGAATCTGTGAGCAGGCAAGAAAGACTAAAATCTAGAAATAACCAAAAGAAGACAAATTATCCCCCTAAAACTAAGAAAATATTTCCAGAGCAGTAAAGCCATGAAGAAAAGCTTCCATTTCAATGAAGAACATGTATATTTTCTTATATAATAGACAACATGATATGAAAACTACTGTTCTTGTCAATGATTGTATTCTTGCTAAATGGTACAGTATAGAAAAATTACAAATAAAATATTTAATAGACACAAAAATGGAAAGTTATCTGTTGATGATAGCATATATGGTAATATCTTTTATTTGACTAATATGTGCTGTATTCATGCTGGGAAAAACTATGCTGCATACTGTAAAGATAAATAGTGATTAAATGTAATTTTTTTTCAAAAAAGAGTAAGAAAATAAAAAAAGAAGAAAGAAAAATTAATAAAAAATAAATACCCCAGGGCCAGCAGGTGGCATGGTGGTGAAAGAACTGGACTCTCACATGGCTGACTGTGGTTTGAGTCCTGAATGTGGCAACTTGCTTTCTCTCTCCCCCTTTCTCTCCCTCACTGTCCATCTCTGGTGAATTAATGGTAATAATATTAATAATAAATAAAATTAAATAAATTATTTAAATAAATAAATAGATACCTCTGGGCAGGCCTCATAGCCTACTGATTAAGAGAGTCAGATCCCACATGGCTACTCATGTGTGCAAGCATGCCACAAATCCCTACAACGTGGAGAAATGGAGGAGTTACTACTGCAGTATGACTATGCTCAACTTTGGAGCACTTTCACCCTCTCTCTCTGGCCCTTTCTAAAGAGCACACACACCCTTTGGCAATTGAAAAAAAAAATGAACTCTTCTTATTGAATTTTATTTAACACCACTTGAAATATTAGCAATGGTATGTGAAAAGAAAAGGTCTACCAACCTTGAGAAGAGTGTGAGGTGAATTTCACGTCATCACCGATGGATGCACAAATGTTTTTCTCTATGTCTTTCTCTGAAAGGCCAGCTGTATTATTCACACTTGATTCTGCTTTCTCTGCTTTAGCCATGAAACAAACTGGAAATTCAGGAGAAAACTGAGTATGGCTTCCGTGGTGTTTTTGATCATCCAAACGCAAAGGAAGTTTAATGACCTATTAAGAGAGAAAGCTGTTATCTAAAAATGTTGAAAATGTTGCATACACAGTTATTTTTTTTTCTCTAGCATAATGGGACAATTTGAAAAATCTAAAAAGTTACTGATAAATTTAGTTTTCTAAGACTTAAATGCTTTTCTTTGGTTGCATTATAAAGAATGCATTTCTGTATTAATCTAAGTATATAATTGCATCAGACATTGCCATTTGCTCCATATGTATATTAATGTTTTATTTGTTTCAATTACTATGTATGTTTTTAGTTTTCTTCTTCCATATAACACTGTTTGTCTAACATTTACTGGGATGAAATTAACAGATTCAGTATTTACTGTCTGCAAGAAACAAGACCTTAAGTCCAAACAAAAATGGTAAACTTGTAGAATCCACTGGTGAAAAAAATAGGTGTTCACTATACCATTCTTTTCGCTTTTTTTTTTTTTAGATATTTTTGCTATAGGGCATATGCTCTCACTGGAGAGACAGAGAGACAGAAAACGAGAAATCTACCCCCCCCCAGGGGGGATGGTCACACTGCAATCTTTTCTCTTCCATTCTCCCCTTGGGATTTTGAGCACACATGCACACACACCTGAAGTGAATTTCAAGTCACTAGATCTGGGACTTGACTGCAGTCACCTACATGGGAGTCCAGCAATGTAACCGTTACGTCATCTGCTGGTTCTCCCAGGTTTTTTTGTTTTTTGTTTTTTGTTTTTATTTTCAATGTATAAATATTAAAACTAAAGTGCTTAGAGAAAATAATAATACAGAAAAGGAAATATTCGGCAAAGTGAGGAGTTGAAAGCGAACCTTCCTGAGGGAGAGTCAAGCCCTGTGTGGCTTAACTTCGCTCTTGCATCCTTACACACACGCCATGTGGGCCCACTGGAGTTGTACCAGCCCCCTCTCTGAACGACAACTTGCAGGGATTCCCTAACAACACCACAAAACCCAAGGGCATGCGAGGCCCTGCCTGTGGCTATGGCGGTTTCCTCCCACTGACCTCAGAGGAAAGCGATCAGCATTTTTTCAGATGGACTCATTTTCTTTAATCAGTGCCAAGGCCACATTGCAAAAATCATATTTCTGCTTCATCACCATCTGCATCACCTATCTTCTTCTTCCCAATACCAAGTTATTGCTTTGTTTTGTCATTTCAACATGTCCTTGTTTGAGAAACTTTTGCATTTGAGAAAACTCACATTGGAAAAAAAAAGTCTACATGTTTTAGAATTCCACATAGGATAAAAATGAAGCTTCCAGATAAAAGTGTTTTGATTTTATCTCTTTTTGAGAGAGAGAGATATTTGCTAGAGGGTGCATGTGCTCACCAGAGAGACAGAGACAGAAAGTGAGAACTCACCCCATAGGGGGAATGGCCACTCAGAAATCCCTTCTCCTCCAATCTCCTCTTGGGATCTTGGGCACACATGCACACATGCCTAGTATGACTTCTAAGTCACCGGGTCCAAGACTCGATCTGCGGTCGACTAGGTGGGAATCTATTGATGTAACCATTATGCCATCTGCTGATCCCTTGATTTGATCATAATGGAAGTGAATCATCTACATATCTCTTATTCTGCCTTACCATTAGAAGGTCATGCATAATGCTATTAAGCTCATTAATAAGACTCATTCGCTCACTCAAGAAACATAGAGGAAGAAAATTAATTAATATATCAAATAAAAATACTAATGGGCAATTATATTCATTTATAATGGAAAATGACCTGCTGGAATCTGCAGATAATTTGTAATTTATAATATTACTTTTTTCCCCAGAAACGTTTTGTTGTTGTTATAGACACATGTGCTCACCAGAGAGAGAGAGAGAGAGATAAGGAAAGTGAGAAATCGCTCCCCAGGGGGAAAGGCTATGCCACCATACCTTCTCTTGGGGTTTTGGGCACACACGCACACTCTCTCAGCATTATTTTCAAAGCCTCTGGTCCTGGGACTCAAACTGCACAGTTGGCCATGTGGGATCCAGGCAGTCCCAACCACTACACCACCAGCTGCTCCCACAAAGTTCTTTTTTAATAGAAACTCAAAACAGAAAAGGAAAGTTTTAGTAATACGTTCAAATTCTAGTAGGTTTTTTGGTCAAACCAAATAGTTTTAATGCTGCTGTACAAATATTCACTTTCCTTGATCTTCTAAACTTTACCTCTTGATTTAATCTCAAGTATAAATTCTCCTTATAATTAATACCAGTACTTCATAAATTGTCTTTTGTGAAACAAAGTTAGTGCTAACTATCCTTGCCATCATTTATGGAACACTGAATATTAGATAACAATTAATAAAATAGTTAAAGAATGTAATGCCAGGCTGGCCCTATGACCTAGTGGTCAAGGGATCCAGATCTCAAGTAGCCAGCCACAGCTGGAAACCTGATCCCAGCAACTTTAGAAACATGCCAGGCAATATGCATGTGTTCCTTAAATCCAGACAAGACAGAAAAATGGAGAAAAAGGGATGGCCCTATGGAGGAGTCGCTTTCTCCCTCTCCATCTCTCTTTCCAGATCTCTCTCCAGTAGAGATGTGCCCTTCAGCAATTAAAAAAAAAAAATCACATTACCTATACCAAAATTTATTTTCTCAGTACTGTCTCAAGTCATCAATGTTTAAAATATTTTGTTATGGAGGGTCAGTGGGTGGTGTGGTATTAAGGCACTGGACTTCTACATGGCTGACCATGGTTCAAGTTTCAGATCTGATGACTTGAAACTCATGCCAAGCACGTGTGCACATGTGCCCAAAATCCCAAGAGAAGAATGGAGGAGAAGTGGTTGCAGTGTGGCATCCCCCATGGGCGTGATGTCTTGCTTTCTGTCTCTCTGTCTCTCCACAAGTGCACACATCCTAAAGCAAAAATTGTTCTCAAAAATAAAGAAAGGTAGACAGTGGTCTCATAGCACAGAACAATGCTAAGGGAGCTGGCTGACTAAAGTTCAAATCCTGGTCTCAGTAGCTTGTAAAACACACCAGGTGCACACACATGTGTGCCCAGGTCCTCACAGGATGGTGAGGTGGAGGAGAAGGCATTCCCTGTGACGATGTCCTGTAGACAGTACACTGTCTGTCTCTCTGTGTCTCTCTCTCCCTTTGTCTCTGATGAATGCACATACCCTCCAGCAATTAAGAAAAAAGGAAAATCAGTAGCTGCTGGAGCAGACTGTACAACCCCATCTCATCAAGACAGAGATAGGGCTACGTGTGTTTCTTTATGGAAAGAACTCGGGCTCCCAGTGGGCGAGTCTGTACTATGAGGTCAGCCCACAGTGACAGGTTTTGAACTAAGAATCAGGGCACTTGGATGGCAGTTCTGGCTCATTCCTAACATTGAAAAGACTGAATTAAATTATCTAGACTTCTATTCCTTCTTCTTTTTTTTCTTTTTTTCTGTACAGGTTTTTGCTATAGGGCACATGCACGTGCCAGAAAGACAGAGAGAGACAGAGAGACAGAAAGCGAGAAATCAACCCCTGGGAGGATGGCCATGCTGCAATCCCTTCTCCTTCATTCTCCTCTTAGGATTTTGGGCACACACACACACGCGCCTGGCATGAGTTTAAGCCACCAGGTCCAGGACTAGAACCGCAGTGGACTACATGGGAGTCTAGTGACATAGCCATTACGCCAACTGCTGGTCCTTCTATTCCTTATTTCTACATAGCAATTTAATCCTCATTATCAGAAATCAGCATTAAGATGCAATTACTTTTACCATTTTATGACCGTTTACCTATTAAAATTTTTTATGGCATTAAAGGAAGCTAAAGGCTAGAAAAAAGTAACTCTAGAAAAATTTTAAATTGTTTTCCACTTTAAAAATGATACTGCAGGAACAGTAGGTGGTGCTGAGGTTAAGGTTGCTGGATCTTCCATGGTCACCTGTGAGGTTCCAGTCTCAGACCTACAGTTTTGAGAAACCTGCTGGGTGGGTGGGCATGCATGCCCAAAATCTTGAGAAGAGAATGAAGGAGAAGACATGAAGACATTTCTGCATGGCCATCCCCCCTGGGGGTGTGTGTGTGTGTGTGTGTGTGTGTGTGTGTGACTTCTCACTTTCTCTCTCTCCTCTCTCTCTCTCTCTCTCTCTCCAGTGAGTATATGCACCCTATAGCAAAACTAAAAATTAATTAGTTTAAAAAGTTATACTACAAACCTGAAAATAGAGATTGCACAGCCAGTGGTCCAAATCCAGGCAAATCAGATCTTCAATTTTCCGGAAGTTGCTGAGTTTCTGATCATAATGTCCTCGGAGAAGGGGACACTTGAATTTTCCCTCCACTACATCAAAGTTGTTATCACACAAAGGGAAGACTGCCCAGCCCATGACCCGGTCAAGGCAAGCATATGTCCCACGAAGGAGAAAGAGCTCAAACAAGATAGCCATTCCCGGTTTTACACCTTTGTTTTGAGGGATCGCCTAAGAAAGGTATTAGAATAAAAAAAGATTGGGATGGTCACATTTTTTAAAATGCACTGTATTCAATAATAGCTATAGACAACTCAGAATTAAGTACAAATTTGGTCTGTACTCCGGCTGTTTTCCCTTGAAAACTCACCATTGGATTCATTAGCATAAAAAACCCTTCTAGCCTCAAGTAATTGAGCCCCAGAAAAATGTGACCAAAATGAGATAACTTTGACCCTGCTAGTTCAAGATTCTACACTACATGAGCTGTGGAAATCAAGCGTGTGGTATGTTAGCTACCATGGCAGTCTGCATTGTAATTCCTCTTTGCTTCAGTTGTTACTTCTATTATGTAACTATTTCTATCTTACATCATAGTCATTGTTTGACATGCCTGTCGTTCATCTTGGCATCATTCACAAACCCAGCACAGTGCTCTCCACAGAATGATCCTTCTTTAAAACAGACTGAACAGAAAGCACCAGATGGTATAGTAGTTACATCGCTGGACTCCCACATTGTCAACTGTGGTTCAAGTCCTGGACCCTGGGCTTGAATCTCATGCCA